CTTTATTCCCCGTGCTCTAAATTTGTTGTATGGATAACTTACAGGTCCTTGATTAGGATGCCTTTTCTGTGAATCTGTGTTATTCATATATGTATGTATGTATGTTTGTATGTATGTGTATATATATATATATATATATATATATATATATGTGTGTATATATATATTTTAGCAAATTTTGTATTTTTATTTATTATGCTTGTATATCAGTTATCTTTTATTTGTTTTATACTAAGTAATGATTGTCTTGGCGTATGTGTATGTTTGACACATTTCAGGGTTTTGTGCCGCAATATCCTGTCATGTCAAACTTTAAATAAATATAACCAGTTTTTTTAAATAACCAATTGTTTCGCTAGATGAGACCCTTCTTCCTCAGCTGGGATCATTTAGAGCCCTTTGAAGCTGCATTTAAACTGCATTTTGAAATTTCAGACTCAGGGGAACCATAGAAGTCCATTAAGTGGAGAGGAATCCTGAAATGTTTTGCTCAAAAAACACAAATTCTTTACGACTGAAGAAAGAAAGACATGAACATCTTGGATGACAACGGGGTGAATACATTATTTGTACATTTTTGTTCTGGAAGTGAACTACTCCTTTAAGATATGACTTGAACTCAGATAAAGTGGAAGCCGTTCTTATGTGAACTGGAAATTTGTTCCAGAGGGTGGGACCAGCCACTTCAAAAGCTCTGGATCCCTTGGTCTTTAAGTGGGTTCTAGGTATCTGGAGGAGAAATTTGACCTCCGATCTTAGTCCCCTCGCCAGAGTGTAGGGGTGGAGTAAATCAGACAAATGTGACCATCTCTGTGAAATCCAGGCTAAAGTCTCAAAATCTAATTATGAGATAACAAGCATCAAAGTTTGATTTCAACCATTCATTTCACTATGATTTCAGTCTTTGACATGGTCTTACTCAGTCAGTAATAAAGATATCAATGTTACATTTTCACAAAATTTTCTTTACCTTATGAAGGATGATTTTTTTATAGACAACAGTAAATCAACAAAAAATGACTTTAGCTGGGTTTTCACAAACAGGGTAACAAATAGGGAGGAGCTTGATTGTTGACAAGTAACAAGATTTTAAAGGGGTCATATGATGTTGCTAAAAAGAACATTATTTTGTGTATTTGGTGTAATGAAATGTGTTTATGCGGTTTAAGGTTCAAAAAACGCATACCGCATTTTCCGCATACTGTACATTATTGTTTCTCCTCTATGGCCCACCTTTCTGAAACGCATCGATTTTTACAAAGCTCATCGGTCTGAAAAGCAAGGTGTGCTGTGATTGGCCA